CCCCAAAACCCCAAAACCCCAAAACCCCACATCAATAAATCATTAGAACTCATTTTAACTTGATGTTTTTTAATGAAATAAATTTCAAATTCATCACTAATTATTGCTATAAGGTTTGAGATTGACTAATTCAATGTTAGCAGCATCATCTATCTAAACGCTCGCATTATGATCTTACCTTCTTGAATCTTTTTCAAAGAGTGCTTGCAATTCTTCAATCTCTTTCTTTCTGGGAAGTAATCCATTAATCAAAATTGGAATTAGAGTGCAGCAGAGTGATATTGTTACTAACACCCAATATTTTTCTAAATTATCAATACTCACTCCCACAAAAGCTTTATTCACAAAAACACCAACCATAGGACTTAAGACTCCTGCGCATAGATTATTCATGCCAGTCAAAATCGCAAAAACAGTAGCCTCTATGTTCTAGGGTGTTATTTTGGCAAATAGTACTAGTTAGGGCAGGAGTGTAAAGGCAAGGCCGATTGTATCAGTGACTAAACTTGAAAAAATAATCACAGTTATATCACTAATACCATAATAGACATTAACCCTTAGAACATAAAGCAAAGAGACTGTTCCTCCAAAAATGTGGATGTATTGAGCATATAAGATTAATTTAGATATTTCCTTGTCTCTAAAATATCTAGAGTAGATAAAAACAGCCACTAATAAAGATACAAATCCGAATATCTGTAAAAAGCTGTAAGTTTGCTTAGAAAATTGAACGATGTTGAGTTGAAAATAATAGCCAAACTCTGAGAATGATGGTATGAAAAACCCACAGATGAGAAGATAAGCTACTGTTCTTTGAATTAAAGGCATCTTTATCGCAATCTTTAGTTACTATAGATTAGACTTGAGTTACTCTGTAAATGTGGTTTACTCTATTTAAATAGTTGATTTTTCAAGTTCTTTATTTATTCTCCATCCAAAATAAGCCTGAATTAGACCAACAACTGAGAGTGTTCCGAAAGTTTAATAAGGATGTAAATATTCTGTAAAATATGCAGAAGCAATAGAACCGCAAATACCACCTATTGATAGCATGCTCCATGATAAAGATTGCAGATCTTCAGAGCCATTATCCTTATCTGATCTTGACTAAGCTACCATTAGAGCATCAACAACTACGTCTGTGAATGCTCCATTTAATGATGTAATAGTTAAAAGCAGAGTAATCAAGAAATAATCCGAGATTAAATTCAGAGAAAGTATTACAAGAGAGATGAAATATAGAAGTCCATTTAAAACAAGATATGATCTTCTTCTAGAGCCTAGTATTGGAACATTATCAGCAATAAGTCCATAAAATATTTTGAAGCTCCAGGGTATGTTGATAATTGAGTTCAATGTTTGACTCTAGGTAGGATCCAGCTTTAAATAGTCTTTAAAAAGGTCTTTGATTGAGAGAAGTAAAAATATTTTGAAACCTTGTACAAAATATGCTAGACAGAGCACCATCAATATTGATTTGTCATACTTTTAAAAAGTTCTTTACATCCTTTTGAATATCCCTACTTTTTCATTTTAAACATCCAATAGTTTTGAAGTATCCTTTGTAAATTCAAGTGAACTTGATCTCTTTCGCAGAGGACAATGCTTTAACTAATTTGCCTTTGGAGATGGTTCATCATAATCTTCTTCCTCTGTGACATTAGCTTACATATAATTCTTATTCATTTTAAATTATTTAAAGGTATCTTATAATTTTCTCTCCAATAATTCTGGAATTCCGGGGTTTTGGGGTTTTGGGGTTTTGGGG